ATATATTTACAAAATTGGAAGAGATACAAGCTCTCCAATCAGAAATAAAAGAGTTGGAAATGAAGTAATTTTTAGTTCAGAAAGACTTATTAGAAATGGATTCTCTTAGACAAGAGTTAGCGCAGTTAAGGCAAAACATTGAGCTAAAGAATGTTGATTTAGATCTGAAGGAAGATGAATTAAGTGAAAAAAAGGATGAATTAATGCAGTTGAGAGATGAATTAACCTCAACACAAATAAAATTGATGAATAATAAAGAAGAATCAATGCAGATGAGAGATAATTTGTTTTCAATACAAAAGATATTATCAGAAAAAGAGATCTTCCTTCAAGAGACTAATACTTATTTAGCCAAATAGATCCTAAAAATATCTAGCAAATCTGAAGTACTTGAAGGTGTTAGCGAACTAGAGAAAGATAACAGTATCACTAGTTCTTAAACAACCCCGAAATTATCTAATTCCTCCTTTTTCAGAATGCAATCATTTTTGTAATAGTATTACTAATCATATACATTCTATAGTGCATATTCTCTCGTCTATATTCAAATGAAAAAAAAAATATTCTGAACTATAAATACCTTAAATAGAAATCAAGATTATGGACTCCTGAACTGATACAGAGAAGAACCAAAAGACGGGACTACCTCCTATGAATCTTTACCTTATGGATATGGATAATACATCTGGCGATCAGCTAAAAATATTAGCTCTGATCAAGAATTTCACGTGACATCATAAGTATTGATTAGCAAAAAAAAATCATGTGATTTTGGGCGACCTAAGGACACTAAAAATTGTTAAGAAATAAAATATGTATATTTATGAAATCTACTGTCAGAGGTACTTTATTGATATATTAAAAAATATTATTGCGAATTACTTATCACGTGACATGAAAACAGAGTCATCACTTTTGTTTAGAAAATATTTTTTATTATTATACCCTAACCATAAACCTTAGTCACAGAGTATATAAAATTATATGTATGAAATAGATTTCTATTCTATGAATTTTTTGAAATCGAAACAGTTATAGTCATTTCACCAGAACTGTATTCACTATCTCTAAAATCAGAATCATATAATATTTTATAGATCATACATGTAACAGCTGTTCTCAAAGTCATTAAAGCATATATAAGCGAATAAATAGAACTTGATGAAGTTGAGTGTAATAAAATTGTTGTCTCCTCTATTAGATAATACTTGTAGATACCTGATTCTTTTTGCATGACATAAAGTTCTATAATATTACCTGCAATGTTAATGGCAAATATAGATAATACCTGTCTCTTTGATGATTTATTAAATATTCTTTTAAGCTTAGATATAATTCTAGTAGTATCAATAGAATCTTTGGAAAACCTTACTAATTTTTTATGATCTCGCCAGCGTTTGTCTTGATTAGAATTTGGTCTACCAGTTTCAAGGTATACTATTTCAAGTTCTATACCTTTTCCTAACTGTATCACAGTCATATAATCTGGTTTTCATGCAAATTTTCGAGATCCTTTTCTTATAGTACTAGCTGAACTTCCTTCTTCACCCTATTTGGAAAATTATATTAATTATCTAATGAGTGAATAGTGTAGTAGAAAAAAAGGTATATTCGTACATAACGCCTTTGACAAGCTTACCATATATCCTATACAATAGGATTTCCAGGTAAATCACTTATTACTATATTTATTAGTGACGCAAGTACTTTACAGACATATGATCTTTCATTAACCAGTTTTCCTTTCTTTGTATAAGCGTCATATTTAGGTAATTTTCAAACTTTATTCCTATAAAATATTTTGCCTATTTACACATTATTCATGAGCAATAGTATATTATTAGATGAAACCTCAAACAAAAAAATAAACTTACAAAGACTCTAGTATTCACTTTGTTATTTCTTAAAGCTTTTCAGAAGTATTTAGCCATTTTTCAAATTTCACATTACGCAAATCTTTATCTAAATTAATTTTTAACTTCTTATTATGAATAAACTCTTTACAAGTATCTATTATCATATCATTATAGTCTAACCTGTATTTCTTGAAGGGTTCCTTAAAAACATCATAAAGTGATCCAGACATCTTTGTAAAGGATTCTGATTTAATATCAAATACTCCAAAGCATATTGGATGATCAAATCCAAGAGTCTTGACATTTACTTTCTCTAATTCCGTACTAATCCTTTCTCACATAGTTTTTTCATAGCCGATACTTTATTTTTAAGCTGATCGATGTTACGTATTAAAAGTTCTAAATTTGCATTTGCATCATCAGGCCACGTTTTAGCATCAATTACTAGAGCTTTCATCCCTGTAAGAGAGCATAAATCTTTGAACACAGTTGTTACCTAAATATAGTTAACTTAACTTAGGCTTAATGTTATTGTGATAGATTAAAGTGGAATATTCTTATGCAGGATCAGATTAGGTTTTCGTTTTCATAAAAAATATCAAAATGCTAGCAGTAAGTCAGCCAAAAAGCGTGCTCACTAGATATATATATAAAATTAGTTACTGTCATGCAGAAGTAATAGCAATCATGATGGACACAGTGTATTCACTAATATATATATATGCGAGAAAACCTAAAAAATACATCATATCCACATATTCATTATAAAAAAATAGTTTATCGTCTTACCCATTTCGCCAATTTTTTTCTGGTACTAAAACTTCGAAGCTTCTTTATCCGTTCAATATCCTCTGAGAAAATTCATTCTAAAACTCGCTTCAAAACATTATCAAAGTTCTTCACTTTCTTTTCAAGAACGCCTATCTATTCACCTTGTTTCACTCATACGAACAATGCTGTGAAAATCCTAACAATGTTAAGAAGCTCTCTCGTTAAAAGGAATTCTTCCATGATTTAATAAAATAAAGGTTAAATGTTAGTGAAAGCTCTGCTAAGCGAAGTAAAAAAAAATAATATAAAGACATAATAAATGACTCCCTCTAGGCTTGCAATCATATTAGGAAAGGGACAGGAGAATATGTAAGGCATTTTACGCCCGTATTTGTAATTAAGAACATGTAGAATGTGCATTGAAGATCTCAACATTACATTATATATATACTTTAATGAGTATCGAAAACATGTTAATTTATGTCGTACATATTTATATGCATTAGCCTTGAGGCGCTTTGCATAGCTGGACAATATATTATTTTATTAAGATAATATTCAAGATCTGGGTCAAGGACTAATCTGGAAAATTTGGTAAGTGATACATTTCATGCATAGCACTCTAATTTTACTAGTCAATCATGCATGCAGATTATATAGCTATTCATTTCGCAAAAAAATAAAGTATAATAAATGTTTGACCTCAACATAGTCGAGAGATATATAATGTTAATATTCAGTTGAAAGATATTGCGAAGCATCTTAATAGCTAAGTCTATTTTCTTCTTGCATTTTTTCACACAGAATCAAAATATGCTTCACTAAGATTGCTCAAAGTAGTTCTACTAGAAATATTAGGCATATTTGATCGATTGTTTCAAAGATTTCTAATTTCAGGTGCATTTACACTATATTGCATGGGGTATCTCTCGAAATCACCCATTAATGTAACAGGCTTTTATGGCAACAGAGGAGGAGTTGGCCCATTTAGTACTTCATATTTTTGGTTAAACATATGATGAGAAATTGGCGAAACTATTTCTTACCTGGCAGGTGAAATACAAGCTGACTCGAAATTTGGAACACTTGGCATAATATTTTTTACTATGAATGTAGTCTTGGCCTTGAAGCAAGAGTTATTCCAATGATCCTTCATTAAATCTTCAGATTTAATCTTATAGCCTTACCTGCGCCATCCATCAAAATATTCTTTTCTTGGTTTTACTTCGGTGATCTTTACCAATTTTCAGCATTTAAAACAGATAGCCATCTGACTTTTATGAACACTAGGTCTGTGGTAACTGATTGGAAGTTCTCTTCCTGCCCAGTTGTTATAGCATGTTTTAGTTACTCCTTGCCCGAATGATCTGAAAAGGCAGAATACATGATAAAAGCTTCTATACCCTTCAGCAATCAATATTTGTAAAGTGACTTTTACACAAATAGCCCATTGCTGTGGAGTTTCATATGATCTAATAATAGATAAATTATCATATATTTTTTCCATCTCAACCATTTTTTCGATTGATCAATAGAATAAATATGGCAATATGCTTTACTATATTCCATATCATATCCAGGATGAAGACTGGTAGGTTTAGGCACAGATTTATTATAAATCTTATTTAGAATAATTGTAACAGTTTGACCAGACATATTTTTTTATACTAAATTAGTGAATTATAACGATTTATAGCAATTTATTGATTTATAGCATTTTTAGTAAATTATAGCAACTCTTTAGTAACTTATACTAATGAATAACATGTTTCAAATTTATAGCGATTTTATCGATTTGTAGTCGATTTAAGAGACTACATACTGCTAAATCCAAATTCATTTTTAGCTCTTATTTAAAGAACTTCAGGGTGAAAAACAGATTCATATTTTTTTCCTGACATTATGATTCGGCTAAATTATATCCGATCACCATTGACGGCTAAACTATGCACAGCGCTTTCGGCTAAAATTTGTCACATATGATCTCCCTAGTTCCCTATGCGAAGCGTCTACGGCCCAGTTCTACAACAGTTCCAGGAGTGTTTAGGAGCTGGCGAGTTTCTATAAATTACGAGATGTGTTACAGATCAGAATTACATTACCCAATCAGATTTTGCACAGTAGCTAAGCCACTGACATGAAACACATAACATACGATAAACAGCACACAACACTCTTTAAAAACAAAGATCTTTATTATATTTTTTCAAAATATGGGTAGAGAAAAAATACACTGATTAATAGGTGAAGAAAAAAAATTACCTATAGAAGAATCTTTATGTAGTTACTGTCTATTACCATTTCATCATTAGCGATTAACGAGCTAACAGGCGGAATTGTTGAGTGTCTTTGTCTAATGGGTGGCGATTGTCTTCAACTAATAGGTGATTGACTTCGACTTAACCGTCTCTCAGAGGATCTCAATTTGTGTTCAACTTCTCTGGTAGATGGTGTGAGCGTAATATTTCCGCTCCCTCTACTTCGTCTTCGGTTAAAAGTATTAATACCGCAGACTCTATCGAATTCATCCTCAGGTCTCTCCCAAAAATGTGTACGAAATTCATCAAAATATCGTGCACCTGTTTGACTTCTGGTTTTACTTTTATCAGATATAAAATTACACATAGCCTAACAATAAAATGATTGATGTTAGAATCGAACATGAAAGACAGTTAGTAGAGTTAATAACAAAGTTCTCAAATATAATGATAACTTACATTATAATTCCGGACAAGATTCGAGAATTTTTCTTTACATTGGTGACCGTTGAATAATGACCCATTCTCTTGATTGATCTTACTCGCAATACTACCCCAAAATCTTTCCCGATTTCTCCTAAGGTTATGAAACTCATCGTTTCTAGTTCTACGTTCGTCAATAAGAGTACGAATTTCTGGATCAGTCCATTCAGCCATTTTTTTTTCAAGAACAGGGTGCTGGAATGTAAGTAAAAGGATTAATGAAAGGCAATAACCCTATAAAGGATTGAGAGCGCCAAGCTGAAAGAAAATATTTTGATAAATTTCTTTGGGGATAGGTTGTTTATATAGTCTGTTGAAAGCGCCTTCGGCAGAGCATTATTACATAAAAGGGGGTTTTATCTTTTGGCACAACTGAAGAGATCCCAAAGGGATCAGATCAACTGTATATTAACTGCACATCAACCATAGTTCAACCAGAGTTCAACCAGAGTTCAACCAAACTTTACATTTTTCATTATTGTTTCACTTTTTATAGTTCCTTTGATCTGTCAATATGCGGAAGATAACATATCCAACTTGTTTGCCCTGGTAGCTTTTCTTTCTCGAATAAATATGAGAAAAAAGTGCGATTAATGAGAGTTTACTTCTGAAGCGCAATCTCAACCTGACTTCAACCAGAGTTCAACTAGACTTCAAACTAATAATATCTATTCACGCACCTGGGCTCCTTATTTCATTATTGTGCTATCCCAATAAGCTAATTAAATAATGTAGATCTGCAAATGAATATCACTACTGGATCAATATTTAATGACGATCTAACCCCAAAGATTTGTAAAATATCTGATCAGGCAGCATATTTAAAAATAAAAATACTGCTGTATATATACGTAATGCAGATTCGAAAAAAAAGAAACAACTACTCAGCAAGAATTTTTCCCGATATCGTACTTTGTATTTCAGGTGACGGTCCATATGATGAATTTCATTGTTTTCAGTTACTATTTGGATTTTACTATGATAAGTAACAATAATCATTTTAAACTACTATCAGAATCATTTAGCTTGATGAATTAAGATTGTGTATATTGTATAAGAATTCACAGAGTGGATTTGAGTTATGAGTTGATGCTATAATTTTTAACGTTTATGCAAGGCACTGTATAAAAATTTAGATTGATACTAAAATTTTTGCTAGATTGAGCATTTATTAAAACAGTTATTATAAATATTTAATTATTCCAATTTTACTACCAATACAAATTACAAATGTAAAACTTATTAGCATGTCGTTCATACAATGAGAAATTATATAAACTTCTAACAGAGTAACACCTAAAGTAAGTGGATGAGAATCCCATATAACAATAACAATATCATATCCAATTATGATTTATCCAATACAATGTCCTAACCTAAGCGTTCTTTGTTAAAATTACATTAATGGAGTGGCTGTATGAAGTAAATAAGCAATAACACCAGGATTCGCGTCTTGCAACCATCCAATAAAATGATGTGCATCTGTGCCAGTAGCAAATGAAAATATGTGATTAGATGGGTTGACAAGAACTTGTGGAATAGGGCGTAGAGTAGTATTTGGAGGATAATTAGCGATATTAGCTGGAAGGGCAAGATTTTCTACACTTGACAAATCTACAACGACATATATAGGATCGATTAAAGCTTGAATTTTCGGGTGGCAGAGTATGTAATCAGTAAATTTTTCGATAATAGACTCAAAAGCATTTGCATCACCGAAATTATCTCTAATAGCATCGATCGAAACCCGCCCAGCTATTAGTTTTGCGATCGGTAAAATGTCTCTGTCTCTCCATTTTGCAGCAGGTTTCTTTTTAAGAATTGTCACAGGTTCCAAAAATCCTTCCCTAAAAATTTCTAGCGCTGAGTTCACTGAATATATTCAATTTAAAACAAACAATATTATACCTAGTAGTGGCTCTGGATTAGGGACGGCTTTGCACACAAAGTCTTCTGAATATTCGTAAACATTAGTAAGCTTCTTAAACAATCTAAATAATTTGAGTAACAAAAATATAGTTAATGCATGAAAAGAAAAGTTTTTTAAAATTAAACTGACTTACTGATGTACTTTATTTTTTCTGGTTTTCTTGGGAGGTATATTGAATATACGAAGAAGAGTTAGAAAAGTGGAAAACTAGGTGGAAAAAAAAGTCTATATACAGTATATACAAATCAGATAAATGCGCTATTAGCCCCATTACGCGCTATAGCCTATCACGTTTTGTGTAATTTACTAATTAGTTACGTCATGAGTATTTTATCACGGGAATTTATTTTTATGATACTGCGTCAGATTATTGAACTATTTATAATATACTGGATATTTGATATACCGAAAAACTCATAAAAATTTGGTTTTCTGCTATATGAAAGAACATATTAATATCGGTATAATTTTGACATAACGATATTTTTTAAAGATTTTCATATAGATCCTAACATATCATTATATCGAAATTTGGACAAGTGTAAGACTAACTCATTCTAAAATCTAAATAATAAAACTTCTATGCTACAATTGCGAACTTGAGTTTATTGCTTGAAGTGTTGCAGGTAAGACAATATTCCAACTTATTTTGAGAATAGAATTTCACTAATTCAGGATCATAAGGGAGCTGATTCACATTTTCGCAGTACCATGAGCTATGTAATCCATAATTCTCATGTTTTCCATCACAAATAGGGCATGGTGAGCTTCACGGCTAAGGTGATGTAAAATCATAATTATCAATTCCTCTGAAATTATTTCTGAATTTCAAGTATGGGAAGTGCTCTAAGATGGATTTGATAATCAATTTTGAATCAGATTTAGTTTCATAAGTAATAAGCCCTTTTTCTTCACATTGCTCACTGGAGGAGGAAAAAGATACTTTGTTTTCTGATTTCAAATTTATGAGAAGGCTAGCTTCTGATGCATGTACTTCTGATAATTGCCATAGCTCATACCCAGTTTTTTTTTATATCTTTTGTATAATTTAAAATGAATCTTATCTGTCAAAATACTTGATAATCCACTTAATTTGGCATGTCAATCCAGATATTCAGTGATTAGTATTTTATCAGACTCAGTCATTTTCCTTTTTATATAACTGCAAACAATTTAAATCCATTTTTCTTCCTCCGGTCATTAATTCAAAAAAAAATTAAAATTTCCTAGATAGATTATCACCCTCAAAAAGTTAGTGAGATTATGCAACTATCTCAATTTCACGCTGTTCACATTTAATAAAGTAAGATCCAGCTTTATACATACCTTTTATTTCTTCATCATCATGATCTAATTTGCATAATGGGCAAATATAGTTCTTGTATGATGTCTCATCAGTAATCCTTAATAATCGAAATTTTCACTACTACATTCTATATTTAAATTAGGATATTAATCCAATATCTTTTTGTGAAAATAAGATCGATCATAAGTTGGTCGAGATGCGGTTGATGATCTAGTTTTAGCCAAGTCTAAGAGATGCACTTGTACTTCTGATACATTATTCTGATCAGATCCCTCTGAAATACCATCATTTTGTTTTTCATTCTCAGGATCATCAGTGAATTCCATATCAAAATTTTTGGTAAAGTGGTTTATGACTCTTTGAATTTCTTCGTTGGTAAATTTTGAAATAGTGTTCACACTATACATTTTTATGTATTTGACCTTATCTAATCCTATTTTTCAGTTAACCTGTAAATCTTCCTAGCTCTTTTAATTTTCTTATATAGAACAGGACATTTAGTGTTAGGATTCTGCGCAAGTATGAAATCATAAATTAGTCCTTTAGCTTTTTTTATGCCTACTCTATCTCTAGCTATGATTTCCTCAATGCTTTTATCAAATGCTATAATAAAATTACTTCAGCATAAATTTCTGCCTGATTAGCTTTTATCGATACATCTTCGGCATCACAAACTTTTTCATATAAGTTAGCTATATTTTGTAAGATATCTGATTTTTCCTAACCCAAGATCAGTGAAATCTCAGTCACTTATGATATAGAATCATGCAAAGTACTTCTCAGTGATTCTGGATAGGTATGTTACAGCTGATACTAGTAGATATTTCTTTAATCAAGTCTTCACAAGCTGATTCTCGCTGAAGTTTCTTCTCTTTATTACATTTTCTAATTTTGTTGCTAACGCTTTTCTTATACATCTCATTTAAGAAAACATCTATCTCTCTTTTCTCCAACGAATTAGTTTCTGTGTGAATAGGTTGACATATATCAGAGTTCTCAACAAAACTAATATTAGTTGAAGATTATTTGATTTCCTTGATATCATCATCTAATTTAGCAATAAGGGTGGCCTTTTTTTCTGTTCTAGGTTCGTAAATCTGGCTTCATGTTCTTTCAAAGCATACTTTAACTTCACATTCTCAGCTTTAACTTTAGTATTCTCTTTCTTAAGTTCAGTAATCTTAGCTAAGAGCTTCAAATTTATTTCTCTCAACGAATCAATCTTAGATTGCATATTTGATAATATTTTTTTATACAAGATAGAATAATTCAAAAGTTCGAGTTAGTATAATAATAGATAAAAAAAATTATGTGATTTTTTCTGACCTGAGGTCAGCGAAAATTGTTAAGAAAAATTTTTATTAATGGGAGGTACTAAAGTAAATGATCATTATACAAGTAGGCACTTGACTTAAGTTAAAGAACTTATTTGTTGTCTCTCCCTCTCAGCACAATGATAAAATTTATTAGCATGCTTAGAATAAAACCCTGTGTAAGATAAGGTAGGCTTATTACATATTCTACAAGGAGATTTTAACAATTTATTTGCATCTGATTTCCAATGAATCAAACAGCCCGTCAAGCGGGTGCAAACACAATCACAAACACTTCTATCTTTTTTAATATAAGGGCAGGTAATATGATCCATTCTATTATATTCTTTCTTCACCCTTATTATAGAAATCTGATTCAAATTATAAAAAAAAAATGAATTAAACTGTGGTGGAAAAAGTATATCGTAATTAATATATATCATAGTATAAATCATGTCATCTATGAATACAGAAAAAATAGTACTCAACATTCTAACTAGCTGATGAATCAATCTAAACAGAAAGCTATTTCAGAAGTTGATTCGTAAAGGCTATAAATATGTTGATAGATTCTCAGATTATTTAGAAGACATTAGAATTATATATGTAGGTGAATTTAAGCTAGATCCCTTAGCTGATTTCTACCATTCAGCTCTAATTCCACTTTTATCAATCTTAGCGAGTAAAGTGGCTATTCGTAAAAACTTTCTATTAGTGTAAAATCTGCTGCTATGGGAGAAATGAGTCTATTTACTTTAGAAAAAAATAAACAATCTTCACTCTAGAATCTAATTCAAATGAACTATTCTATTGATAACTTAATTACATTAATAGAAATAACTTGAGAGTAAGAAGAGATGAAAACTTGGAGGAATGACGTGCTTATGAAATTCCTCCATCATTCAAATTTAGCTTCTTCAAAGCATAGACTGAGAGCATTATATGATGCATTTACCAAGATATATATTTTACGGCCAGGACATATACTAGCTCTAGCACAAATATTTTATTAAAATGTTATTAGATACAGATGAATTTGTTTATAGCCTGGAATGGCAGTTCCATAATTATATATTTTTTCGCTTATCATTTATACCTGCAAAATTCAATTTTTTTATTAATATATGCAAAAATAAATACAAATGTTCAGGACGGGTGGGTAACCCATCACGTAGCCTGCAATACATAAAGACTATACTATCATGATTATTTTTCGAATGATACCCCTCTATCCTAACCCTCTTTCTTTTCAGCTCATCCTTCATACACGCCCTATCATTTAACAAACCCATAATTATATCTAAAACCTCTTTCACACTATTACATAATGATTAGTATGACTTGGAGTTCTGATCTAGAGTCTTCCTAGAAAATTTGATTGAGTAGGTAATATCACTTGCCTTGAAAATTTTTCCAGGACTATATAGAAGGAAGTGCCAGTCCCGACCTGTTGTAACAATATCATAGAGGTAATTGAAATCCTCTTCACCTTGCTTTCTCTTCCTCTTGTTCGCGTTCTGAAGCTATTTGATATTTTGTGCGAAGCTTAGAGGACCTTGTGCTATTTATCCTCTGTGATACAGATAAGGTCTTCAGCTTCCTATCCACAATTAACATAGACGTGTTAGTGTTAAGTTAATCTAATTGCGATTAGAACTAGAACGGAAGTAACAAAAAATACCTTAATTGCATAATCGACCTGGCCCCTACTTTCTTCACCAACTATCCTATACTGAGGCTTTATACTAAGGTCCTTGTTTGTTATATCTTTGATGATATAGATACCAGCGTGTAGGAGGGCCACAATGTACTCATTACATATGGCCTCCAAGCTATCTGACTGTAAAGTTCTGTAAGAATACAACCTACCCAAAATTTCTTCTATACAACGCTTGAAAATCTTATTTTTGTCCTGGATTTCGTAAGTGGAAGGGAAGAAGAGTGGTATAAAATCTATTCCATTAGAGTTGTATCCATATTCTGCTAACATTTCACTTAAGCTGAGGTATGAGAAGAACGCACGCTTTGGCTTTTCTTTGAGGGTCTAGACCTATTTTGCAAGTTTTATAGCTGGTTCCATTTTCAAGCCAGCTTGCATAAATTTTTTTCTGTCATATCAAGAAAGGAAGGGCCGTCAATTTTTTCATTGTGAAGTATTCTAAAGTCATCATCATTAAACTTGAGATTCTGCTCTTTCAAAAAATCGATAAGGGTTTCTGTATCCCAGTTCTTAACCAAGTAAGAGTCGTGTTCAGCTGTTGAGATAGACATAGTATTACATTTTTATAGTGATATTAGGCTCAGACAAAAAATAGTGTTACTTTCTGAAGTAAGATAAAAATTTATTTCTGGGAAAGGGCTAAGCGTTAATATAGGTTTTTATGTTGCATAAGCATTACATAGTTCACATTATTACACGTGACCCGCTTTTTCAATAAAATAGTAATACTTTATTTATAAAATAAAAAATATTGCCAAAAGCTAGCTTACAATACATAAAATTGCGTTACATGATACAAGTAGAAAAAATACTAATTATCTTAGATTTTATGAGAATGTGAATTTGATCCTGAATAAGGGGCTTATCGAAATACTTAGAGATCTCTTCTCCTAATTCCATGAGTTTATTTTCCTTAGGATCGTTCACATATAGACCAAAGTTGAAGGAGAGAGCTTAGTAACCTTAATTTTCTAATAGAGTTTTAATAACAAATTTGAGAATAGCGATCTTATTTTCCTTGCAGGATGAGATTATGTAAGTTATTTTATCTTCACTATCCTGAAGGCACTACTTAAGATTGATAATACTCTTATGAGTCATTTTCATTTCCT